AAAAAAAAATAATCCTCGTGCCGAAAAATGGATTCGAACCACGTGTTAAAAATGTGTCGCATGTGTCGCACAAGAATGTGTCGCACGTCCGCTGGAAGAAATGTGTCGCAACGAGCTCCTCGTGTCGCATATTAATGTGTCGTACATTGTGTCGCAAAGTGCGACACATGCGACACATTTTATCTTAGTGTGTACCGTTGGATGACTGTTTTTGAGTCATGATCTCCACTATAGATAGGGGGGACGAGATGCTAGTGTTCATTCGGAAATAAAAAGAAAAGTTCGAAGTCCTCATAGGATTTCTTTCCTACCTCTCGATGAGTTCTTTTGAGACATGGTGTCCCCTATAAGTAGGGGTGCATCATGTGGTAGGGTTCATTCTAATAAAAAAAAAAGTTCGATGTCCTCGGATGACGATTTTCCTTTGTCTGGGTGACTCTTTTTGAGGCATGATCTCCCCTGTATGGTGGATACGGTATGTTTCCGGTGTATTTCGTGATGGATACGGTATGTCTCCGGTGTATCCCGTGATGGATACGGTGTGTCCGGTGTGTTCCGTGGTGGATACGGTGTGTTTCCGATGTATTCCATGATGGATACGATGTGTTTCCGATGTGTTCCGTGATGGATACAGTGTGTTTCCGGTGTCTTCCGTGATGGATACGATGGATTTTCCAACTTTTTCCGGTGAACGGAAAAGTTTTGTAATTGACTGGTTCCTTGTACGATGACTTGCCGGCCGGAATACTGCCCCCCTTTCTAGTATTTTACCGGTCGGTTCCGGCAGGGATTGCACGGGAACCGGCAGGAATTAGCCGGAAAATGCGCCGGTTCCTGCAGGTTCCGGTAGGAACCGTTGACCGGAATCATCGACCTGGGTTCTTATTATTTTTAAATAAAATCAGTCCGGGAACTTTTTGAACGCACCGTGTATATCAAGTTTGTTCGTTTTATGTTTAGCAGATCAGAAGAATAATTTTGTAAGTAAATACATTAGTTTAAATATGAATTAGTTCTATTCTTTTATATTTAGGATAAACAAAAGTGTAAACTTATGAGTACGTCATTATTTTAGTATAAACTAATTCTTTTCTCGTACATGCAGATTGATCAGATGAATAGATTTCATAGAGAAGTTATTGTTTTAATATAACTGGATCCTTTTATTGTATATTCAACTCGATTCAAAGAATTATTTGACCAGTAATAAAATTATTTTACGATAAATTCTATTCTTTTTTATTTAGGTGCTCGCAATATGAGATTCATCCTTGAGAATAATTTAAAAGATTTAAATTATGTTCAAATACATAAAGAAAAGAAGAAAAGAGACGTCATTTTTGTGCCGTACGAAAGGATCATCAGGCTATGATAATGAACGATATCATATACATAAAGTAACAGTAATGTATTCCCATATTAGGCTCATAAGAAGATTTGTTAGTTCTACATATCTTTTTTGAGAACTATATTACGGAAAACTGGGTTTCCAATAAATTAATTCAGAACTGATTATTGATTTGCTATTAAAAACTGTTTTTTTTGGCTTAGAAGACGATATCAAATGAAACCTTCCTCAAAAATGAAGGGCGGTATTATAAAGAGCGTCGATTACGAAAACCACTTTTTACCGCTATAGGAAATAGATTTATACGAAACTCCAGGTACGAAACCTTTTGTTCAGCTGTGAAAAATAGGTTTGTACTAAACCTCAGGTACGAAATCCATTTTTGCCAGATTTACAAAAACAGTTTTGTACCGATCCTTATTCGTACAAAACTCAAAAAAGGTTTAGAATTCGTTTCAAATCTCGAAATCCTTTTTTAGTTTCGTATGCTACCTTTTTTTCTCCAGTGTATGAGTATGATCTGGCATTGAAAATATAGAATGTGATGTCGGCGACCGATATTCAAATCTGACGTTCTAACCGCTTCCATATTTTGAAACAATGGCTATTATATAATTCGATACAAAATGGAAAGAAGAACAAAGAAATATAAAAACTTCTTTTGGTAATATTTCTTACTTTTCTATAGAAAAAGCCGAAATACTAAAAAACGAACCTAAAGTTGCATGCTGAAAAAATCTAGGTTTTTAAACTTTTTTCATTCTAAATTTTGATCATAGAGAAAAATCATTTATATATCTAGTTTTATAAAGCAAGTCAAGCTCTATTGATTGGTATATCTGTCAATTTCAATAATAAAAAGTTTCAGATAAAAAAAAGATTTGAGAAAAGCAATGCATCAATTTTTTACAATTTTTTGAGATATATGCATTTTTAAGAGTGTTGATGATCGGACAGCTCTAGCAAACCAGAGGTAAATATATAGAGCATAATATTTTGAATTCCTCTATTGTACACTGTAAACTAGAAAATGAGTTATAGAGTTTAATCGAGGATATTCTAGGAATGCCTATATGAATTCGCCGATGAATTTCTAAATTCTTGAAAATAAGATATTCGAAACATTAAAAATATGAACTTTGATTTTCTAATTAGAAAATCAAGAGTGAATTCATATAGGCATTCCTAGAATTTCGGATTCGATATAGCAATTCGAGCATATTCTAAAAACTAGAAAATCAAATTTGATTTTCATATCATGATGAAGTATCTTTTATTTATTTTATTTCATGAAATAAAGTAAATAAATAATTTTACTAAAGGAAAAATTCATTTGATGGAACCATCCATTAATATCATCGTAAATAAACGATTAAATAATCTAGTTGAAATATCAATCTATTCAACTTTATTCATTCACTATAATATCATTGTAAATAAATAAATGAATAATTTAACTAAAATAAAAAACATTTCATTTCAATCATTCATTAGTATTATTGTATATAAATAAATAATTTAACTAGAATAAAAATTCATTTCATTTCAATCATTCTTAATGTCATTGTAAATGAATAATTACGTAAATGAATAATTTAACTAAAATAAAAAATCATTTCATTTCAATCATTCATTAATATCATAACACTTCATAAAGAGAATATTGATTAAAAAAATTTTTAGAAATTTTTCTTCTATCTCTTATGAGGAATAAAACTGCATGATTAAAAAATAATTGATTGTGTTCGTCAACACAGTACGGACTAACACAAACTGTAGCTATAGAATAAATTATTAATCTACTCGCTACAGCTGCCGGAAAGAAAATGAATGACCAATGTTGTCGGTTAATTGATATATCCAACTGAACAATAGCCACTGCGCAGCTATTGTTTACTTGATTTTCTGTAAATATGTGTACGATTTTTCAAATCTTGTGAAATCAGTTGTTGATTTTCCAATTTTTAAAAAATGGATTTTTTCGAAAATCAAATTGAATTTCTATAAATTGAAAAATCAAGCATTTTCGAATTATTCAAAATTCAATGGATAGATCATAAAGCTTTAAAAATGCTTCAGCTTATTTTAGATCGATTTTCCAAAAAGTAGAATTTCAAAAAAATTTACAGTGTAGATAATGTTTAGAGTTTGTAGATGGTCAAATCCAAAATCGGTTGGCTCCCATGTTTTTCGATGGCGCAAAAAAGTTTGAGTTTTTCGTGGCACACCTCTTCAACATTTTGTTTTACTTGGAAAAACGTACTTTAATTGTGAAAAGTGTATCCACACCGACGGGATCTTCTTCCACGGTACATCTTCTAACCGATCTATCAAACTGTCACGTATTGTACTTGTTATATAAGGTTAGAAGTTAGGTGAACTTCTCTAGTTTATTTATACGTGATGAATGAATATAACAGAGACAGAAACTCAGTTATACGAAGGAATAGAATCCGAAGGAGAACAACCACCCAACTAGCTCATGCGATCACACATATATACATATGCAGTGGAATAGGAAATCTCCAACATGAATTGAGAAAATACATATAAAGAAAGGAAAAGCGAAACTTGGAAAATTCCAATATACATGAATAACGACCAGTGTGGGAAAATTCAATATGTCACTATATCACACAAACCATCTACATCGTTATTTAAATCAAATCAGTGGTGCTCAATGTGAGAAAAAAAGTAAAAAACAAATATCAAAAATACATTTGCATAAAACAAATTTATTTCAACTTTTCCCCTTAACCCTTAAAAGCCGAATGTCCCTTCCAAGGGACATTTTGAGAATTTGAATAAAACATCCAATAATAGTGCATACACAATGTTTTTTTTTTCTTCGACTCAAATGATCTGGTGGATCATAAAAAAAGAGTAAAGGCAAATCTGAATAATTGTCAGAGGAAACAAAGCAGTTTTTAAGGCTGACAACTTTTTAAGTATCTATTTTTTACTTTGAAACTTTTTTGTATTGATGAATACTTTAAGAAAATCTGTTTTTTCAAGCGGTATCTCGCGACACATCATTACTCTATCGTATGAAATCATTCAACGATGTTTTGATTGATCTATTGATGAATTGTAATGTCATAAAGAAAATGTCCCTTGGAAGGGACATTCGGCCATAACGGTCCAAATTTTTCCTCCATTGTATGAAAACGCTATAAGGGAACAACAGCCCCCAGATCTTTTCGGCAATACATGCCAAAGAAACCTACAAAGAGAGGTTTCAAAGTCTGGACAAGGTGTGGAGTTTCAGCTTTTGTCTACGAAATGATATTACATCATGGTGCATCGAAAACAATGCTAATGAATTAGCTCTACCTGACTTATCATTAAAACGTACCTCATCTCGATCAACAACAACAAAAGCCTTGAATACTATTAAATCAATTAATGCACAACGTGCAAAATTGCTTAAAGAGTTTGGCTCTTCAGGATTAGTTGTATTAGATCTAGTAAAAGATGTTCCTGTTGGGTCTGCAATATTTATCGACAATTATTTTGCATCAACTAAATTAATAAAAAAATTAACTCAACTTGGTTATAGAATCACCTGCACGTTACGATCGAATCGAACAGAAAAATGTCCAATATCAACAGAAGAACAATTTGCTCAAAAGAAGAGAGGTTATTATGAATCTTTCATATCAGATGACAAAACATGCATTGTAGTCGGATGGAAAGATTCAAAAAGAGTATTATTAGGTTCTAATTATATAGGTATAGAACCACAAACAATATTAAAACGTTGGGATAAAGAAAAACAGCGTCGAGTTGATATTATAGCACCTCAAATTATTAATAACTACAACAAATTCATGGGAGGGGTCGACAACATGGACATGCTAATAGCTTTACACCCCATCCCATTCAAATCCAAACGTTGGTATTCCAGAATTATATGGAGAATTTTAGATGTAATGATTATTAACTCTTGGATTATTATGAAATCTCGTCTTCGTGGTGATGATAGTTATAGTTCTGCAAGTCATGGAAAATTTAGATTATTTCATTTCAAATCTGAAATAGCAAAATTTTTATTAACAAAACCAAATCTTCAAATATTACCAACAGCTACTGGTAGTTCATCAATAGATGTTTATCAAAATGATGAAGAAAATGAACCACCAACAAAAAAGTTACGTGAAGCCAGGTCCAGTGTAACAGATGTTATACGGTATGATAATTCTGACCATTGGCCTTTATTTATTTCTGCTCTAAATAACACTCGATGTAAGAACGAAAACTGTTTTGGAAAAACATATTGGCAATGCTCCAAATGTAATGTGCACTTATGCCTGAATTCAAATAAAAATTGTTTCACTGAATATCATACTCGTAAATAAGTTTCTACTATAGATATAAATGTTTCACATTAAAAATGTGTATCTTAATTTTGTTTTTCTTTTGTTAAAAATTTATTCAAAATATCTCTTTCTATTAATTTATTGTGTTTACAACAAAATAAATAAAGTTATTCACTTGAAAACGCTTTTCATGCATAGATTCAGAATACTGATGAATTTGGACCGTTAAGACCGAATGTCCCTTCCAAGGGACATTTTGTATCTCCATAAGAAAAAAAAAATTTGTTTTTTTTACAATCAATAATTCTTATTGGTGTTCTAGAGCTTCTATTTTAACGTTTAGTTTTTTCAATTTGCGACGATAAGGCCTTCCGGCTTTTAAGGGTTAACTATATAAAATAAGTGGATATGAAAAAAAAAGGAAAAAAGAAAAGGAAAAGAACATAGAATAGTATAAAAGAGAATGAGAAAAGAGAATAATATGATCTCATGTTATCAACATAGATTACAACAATTGTGACATGGATGTCTATTGAAATGAGATGCATGACGGTCTATTTTCTATTTCGCGGTTTCCAAAAGAAAAGTCTTTAAAATGTTAATTCATCTTTCGGCATCCTGGGGCCAACTCAAAGCTATCCACAGCTGAGTCACTCATACTCGTCGCATTGTAACCGAGACCACGCTTGGCAAAGCCCTTCCACAGTTGACACTTGTATATTCCTTTGGTAATCGCTGCTTCCGCTTGGATGATGGCATCCCGTGCCTGGAGGAATGTAGGATTGCAAGGCTGAAGCTTCATACCGTTGAGCATCAGATGCAAGAAAAGAGTATTACCCGTGGATGTGTCCGCAGAGTACAAGTTAGGCGTAAAGCTAAGAGTATCAACCAAGTTCCAGTAAACTTCCCATAGGATCCCAGCCCACACCTCACCTTGGGCATGAACTTCGAAATAATCAGGCCTGTTGATGTACGAGAACAACGAAGGGTTTACATTCATATCTGTGGTGTAAGGAAAGTTGCGAATTCCTTCCTTACCAAAGACATAACTACCCATGAAAAACGTGTCTGTACGCTTGTTTGTAGACTTTTGTTGAAATACTAAAGCTAAAACGTCCGACCAACCTTCACCCATACCACCAGATTCCAGTGTGTTAAGGCAGTCTACATTGGCTGGACCACCTGTCAAACGATTGGAGAGTCCATGACCGTATTCGTGAATGACAATACCTAAGTCGAAAGCTCCATCTTTTCTCGGCGATGTACGATCCCAGAGATACATGTTCATCACGCCGCTTTGACCATCAGGTGGAGTAGCAAAGTTTGCGTTATTGGTGCCAACTTCATCTTCTGCATTAGCAATGACATAATCATGTCCTTTGCCACCCTTATTACCGTTATTATCTTGAAAGTTCCCAGAAACCTCGTCAAAGCCATACTGGTATAGGATATCATGTAGTGAGTTAATAGTATAGAACAGCTGAGTGATGGCAGCATCCATATTTACGATAGGTTCTTGAGTTTGATTGAATGGAAAATGAAAACTCAAGCTGGAACCACCTATTGGGCGGTAGAGATTGTCAATATCATCACTCTCCAACGTGTTCTGCTGCGCCCAGACGTTGTTTCCACGGGTGTCAAAGTACTTGGAGATACCGTTGGAATGCCAACCGTAAGGTGATACTCTGCTTGATGAAGGCTTGTGGATAACCGTTCGGTCATCCTCAAGTGGACTGGCTACATTGATGTTGAGCACCTTGTAAATGGCATCCGATGTCCAGTCAGCAAGTCCTACAACCTTTCCGCTATCTGTACTGACGTGGGCATTATACCAGTTGTTATGCAGCTGCAGTTGGTATGAGTATACAAGTTCGAGACGCGAACCGTTATTGGTCTGGATGTATGAGAAGCGCACAGGCACGTCCGCTTTGGCATTGAAAGGTCTACGGATGATGTATACGGGTCTGTTCTTGCGTACTGCCTTCTTAATCGATTGCTTGATTTGCTTGAGTTGTAAGGGTGCTCTACCTTTGGGGAGCTTGAGAAAAGAAATTAGTGACTTGAAGCCATCTAGAGGAGTCTTGGGCAGACGGGTGTGAGTCAATGCCTTAAAAAGAAGTGATTGACTTGGTCGTGCTCCACGGTAAATATTTTCACCATAACTGATAATACGTCCTTTCCTAGTGACATTGAAGATATTAGCAACTACTTTTTGCTAGGAATAGAAGACTCAGAGAAAGAGAAAGATCTAGGTACATACTGGTCTATGTTGACATTGACGTCTGCATTTACCACTTCAATATCCTTGAATTTCTGTCGCAGATATATCGATGTGATGCCTGTCGCCTTGGAATGTACTATGTTTTTGATGACGATATCAGTCGAGGCGAGACCGAATTTGTCTTGTACAAATTTGAGGGCCACTTGGTCCGGCTTGCCTATGACTTTATGAAAATATTTTGTAACTGGTATGCCAGATACGAACTTGGAAGTTAAAAGAGTAGACTCGCCGACCATCATCGGACGTGCATTGACACATGTTGTGATCGTGAGAAGTAAAAGAGCGGTGCATACCATAATCTTCATCTTCTATGTCGATAGCTTTTCTGTAAATATATATATAAAATATTGAAGCTATTGTCAGTGACATTTTTTTTTGAAGAAATTGGAAGATTCAGCCTAGCTTTATATCGTAAATCTAACCACATATTGATTAGACAATCAGAGAATAACTGTCTCTTTTCGCTATACTTTACTGTGTTCGAGATAGAGAGTGTAAGACGATGGATGAAGTCAGCATGATTGAAACAACATAGGAAGCAGAAAGAAAGTAGAAAAAAGAGTCGCATACAGAATAAAAACATAAAATGATAAAATGGATGGAAGAAATGTGATACTCACATCAATCCATACTCTGGTCAGCTGAAAAGTCTCATCGAGAAAGCAACGAATTTAAAATATGAGCGAGCCTTGAAGTGTTTCAAGAGCGATATTCGAATTTTATATATTTGCTACCTAAGTTAGCTACCTACAATCTAAAATTTCGTTACAATTATCGGTTTTTTGTCGTCATTATTGGATGAAACGCGCCAAGTTGCATTAGAAAAAGTGTGCTGCAAATTCGTAAAAATAGTGTATGAAAACATTGAAGATAGAATTATATCTCTCTCTCGACATCCACTAAGGGTTGCTCATATGTTATATTTGATGGTTTCTCGCTGAGAGTGCTTATTTGGGCCGAACAATAAATGTGTGTTATAGTATACGTCTCTCTATTGTTAAGTGTTTTCTTAGGTTTACAGATTGCCTATTCGATTGTTTTAGGCAGTGTTTTCAATACAGATAGTTAATATATACATAGTTATAATCGTTCTTCTAAGATGAGTTGAACGTCAAAAAAAGGAAAAAAAACAAATATGATGAATAAATTCTGTTGAGTAACAGACGAATACAATTTCAGACCTACCGATTGAGTTTTCGTAAGTTCCTAAATTTGAAATATGAGTCTACTTAACATGATATTATAATTCCAACATTTGATTAAATAATAGAAAGCTGCTATCCTTCAGCGTGAGCAAAAATCACACATCAAAACCCTAAAAATATAATCTTTCTATGAATATGATGGCTATTGTATCGAGAAGCGCTATTTCTTTTGTCTTTACACCAGATATCAGAAATTTCAAATTTTCGACTTACGATATGCTTTGGATCAGATTCGGTCTTTTTTGGGAGCGACTTCGTCCAAAAGCATTTTCCAATATTGTTTTCATGGGTTGCAAATAGAACTCTACAACCTATAACTGATGGTAATGATCGTTTCTTGATACATCCTACAAATGACCTGGAGAAAAATCAAAAAACCTGGATAGATCATGAAGAATGAGGTCCTCTATAGTTTTGCATTATTTCTGTCAATTTTTGTTGCTAAAACGTGAACTATTTTTCTCAAACAATCAGTGTAAAATTTTGCACAAACAGTATGTTGTACTCAATACATAAATCTTCTTCGATCTTTTGACAAAAAGATAAATAGACAGCAATATTATCTATCACTTTCAAAACATTGAATCTATTCTGACGTTTTTTGGAGAAAGAACTTGATCAAGTTCGTCGATAAAACCTTTTTCATTTCGACATAACATCTTTGTTACTGATTCCTTAAATTAGAACTCCATAAATCTTGTTGATGAAAACGAAACTGACTGAATTCACCGAAGAATCTGTTTCAACACGATTCAAAAAAAAAATATACTACTATAGGTAATGAAACTGTTCTTGTGAAAAACGATTATTTGAAAAACTTGATTATTTTGAATGTGAAAGATAATATTACTGTCTAATTATCTTTGTTTCTAAAGGTGGAATAAAACCTATGTATTTAGTACAACATATCACTTGTGCAAAATTTGAGATTGGCTCTTACAGAAAAACAATTGATATTAGAGCGAAACAGACAGACAGAAACAATGACAAAATATCAAGGCACATTGTTTTTCGATCTACCGATAATATTTTCTCTTCTATACGAAAATTTCATCCATACAGTAATTTGTGGACGGATTGGTTCAGAAACATGCTGCAAATAAAATTGAAGAGACCTATTCGAAATAGAAAGGCTTCTCTCCACAAAATATTCTTTGGAAGGTAAATCACAAATTTGCTCACAAATATCGCCGAACAAGAAATGATGAAATGCTAACCAGCCAATTTCTTGAGTACAACAAATCTTTTTTGACTTTAGACGAATCTCATATTTGATATTATCAATATCAAGGAAAACTAAGATAAGTTATGCATATTTTAAATTATTTCAGAGAGTGTTTTTCACGAAACTTCAACGTGTAGTTTCCCTCAGGAATATATCCAAAGATGAATCTCAAAAAAAGAAAGATACGACTACTGGAAACGTAGTTGTGAACTTGTAAAAGATAATTTTGAGATATAATCCGAGGCGTCTAAATATCTATATAGTTATTTTGTTGAAATTTATTT